TGTGTATTCAAAGCACTTAGGACAGATATATAGTTACATTCTCTTAATGAATAGAGTGATTTGTTCTAATGGTGTTTGTAAATAGGATATCAAGTCCGCATCTTGTACAGCAATTAACCACTAGGAAGAATGTATGCAATGTGTTAATTATTGAAACTGTCCTACCAATTGATTTGAAACTATCTCATTGCTATTTGTTTATCAATAAAATTATGGGAAAAAATAAATAAATAAAACTAAGCAATGGGAAATGAAGGCTCATAATCAACTGCTTCTCAGTACAAGAATATGCCTCCTCTCCCTCCAAACTCCAGCTTCTCTGCGAGTTACCTCTGGTTTTGTCTCAGCCACTAATTGGCTTTGCTCTGACGTTCAGCAAATTCCTGAACATCTCCAACAGTCAGTTTTTCAGGATTCATTAAAATGGACAATGCCTTGTGATAAATGGTGGGACTCTGATTCTTTAGTACGTCAGAGTCCGGGGCGCATGAACACGGCTCTCCCAGCAGGGCCCTGACAGTGTCCCCCGGCCTCTGTTGGCAGGTTTCTCCCTCTGCAGTTTGTCACTCTTTCTGTTCATGACGCCGAAAGTATGCGCCTCAAGGTGAAGCTGGTCAGCGGCAGAGCCTACTACCTGCAGCTGTGCGGCCCTGCGAATAAGCAAGATGGCCTATTTGCTCAATGGAAGGACCTCATTGGCCTCCTACATCAGGAGAAAGCCAGAGCCTCCAAAGTGTCACGAGGGTCAAACCTGTCAGAACTCACAAACAACACTGAAGTCCCAAGTTCCATGGACATCATGGCCGTCACAGCCTTCGCAGATACGCAGACCCCCGCCACGCACCTCGGCGCAGACCCCGTCCAGGTGGCGGAAAGCATGAATTTCTCAGAGATCACCGATGTTACGGACATTACAGATGTCACAGACATTCCAGAAAATGAGGTCACAGAATTCCCCGATATAAAAATTGTCACGGAAGTCACAGAAGTCATAGAAGCCCTAGAAGTCACCGAAGTCAAAAGTAGTTCTGATGCCACAAATTTCTCAGGGGTCACTGTGGTGTTTGAAAATGATGACATAAGAAGGGCCAAGCAAGAGGAAAAGGTAGGTGAGACGGAGATAGTTAACTCTTTCATCATCAAGCGCTAGAACAATCCCCTGGTCACAGTGCTGAAATGTGTTCTGGGTAACTTTAACAATGAAATCTAATCCCTCAGCTTGGTATAAAGGAGTTATAAGATGTCTCCTGAAATAGGCTGTTTTTACCAGCAAACAACCCAGTATCTGAAAGCCACATTTTC